CATTGCAATCGGAGCTGTTCCCGGCATTATTTCAATTTGAAATTCTACCTCTCTATCCGGAGGTAATCCAGGCAACTCAGCCGGGAAAACTTCAGGGAATTCTTGAACAATTGAAATCTCCTTTAGCCCTTTCTCTATAGCTCTTAAATCTATTACATTTGCAAGAAATCCTTGACATCCCTGTAGCAATAACTTCTTAGCTGACATTACTGACATTACATTTGCTAAGGGATTAAACTTTTCACTGCTCACACTTATCTCTGTTCCTCCTGGACTTTTCAGGGTTACCTTTTTCAATCTGCAATTAACCTCTCCATAATAACAGAACAGCCAATCCATTCCCAGAATCACTTCAAACTCGTCAAAGGGTAATTCCATCAGATTAGCAGGGAATTCAATTCCCTGAACCTTTATGGGACACCCCTTACAGACTTTATTCACCCGAGCACTATGGCCTAATGGAGTTGTTACTATAATCTCATTACTCGTAGCTTCTAAGGGAATCCTCAATTCCTTTACTAACTTACTTGTAATATAAGAATAATTAGAACCCGGATCAATCAGTACCAATACTGATTTATCATACAACTGAAAAGTACCTACTATAATATCAGGGTCATCACGGTCTTCACTTGTCTTTAGATTGTATACCTGAGCAGTGGATCGAACTTCAGGTTGAGCAGAGAATTCAGACAGGTTCCTTCCTCTGCCTCTTCCTCGTCCTCTTTGTGAGGAAGAATCAACTCTTCCAGATGGTGCAGGCTCACCAACAATCAATGGACAATCCCTGATAAAATGTTCGGCATCTCCGCATCGAAAACAAGTCCCAGCAGCCATCCGACAAGCCCCATAATGGTTTTTCCCACAGTGCTGACACTGTCTCCCTTGACTCGGAGTAGATCTCCCAGCACCAGATTCCACTGATTGCGTCTGTCTAGGTCTCACCTGACTTGCTCCTCTTGCTGAGGATGCAACTGATTCGGATCTAGTTTGCGATCGAAATCCTGAGTCTCTTCCTCTTTTTGGTGGTGCTGAACTAGAAGAAGTAGTCGTCCTCTTTGATGTCTGAACTCTTGAGTCCCCAAATCTTTCATTCTGAGCCATTTCAAGAGCTTTTGCACGATTGATCACCTCCTGGAACGAGGACAAGTTTAATACTATCAACATTTCTTTAAGTCTAGGGCGCAAGCCCTCCACGAACCATTCGCAAGCATCTTTTTCAGTAGGCACAAGCTCAGCTACAAACCTGCTCAGCTTATTAAACTCACATTCGTACTCATATACAGAGCGGCTCATCTGCTTCAAATTCATAAACTCCTGCTTCATTTGTCGGATAAACTGATCTCCAATATACTTGTTTTTAAATTCTTCTAAAAACAAAGACCAAGTCAACTGGTCGGTTGACATCCTCATGGTGACGTTCGTCCACCATATCCTCGCCTGACCCCTCAATAAAGATACAGCTCCATCTAATTTCTCAACTTCGAAACAGTGGAGACCATCTAACAATATTTTCAAATCATTCAACCAAAGATCCGCTGACACTGGACCTTCCTCAGCTTCTCCCTTAAATTCGGGAGCTCCTAAACCTCTCAACTCTTTTGCTACATTTATTCCTTGAGTTGGTGGAGTAGGAGGTTGAAGACGCGTCAAAATAACATCTAACGTTCTGAAGAACGTATCTTGATCTTGCACAGGCACTCCTTGAGATGCCTGTTCTTCACCTTGCCTGGCCAGGGCAGGTGAATTACTGCTTTCAGCATGCCTATCTTCTCCCGCTTCACTTCGGGAGCTATTATGTCAGGACATCTAATAAAAATAAACACATTGTTCTATTAGCAAAACAGCATACTCATACTATACCAGATCAGAAGTTCTCACTATTTGTTGGCATGTATTCCATTTAAAGACTCTATAGACTCTGGTTCATGCCTAGAATCGGCTAAACCATGGCTCTGATACCATTAAATGTAACACCCCCAACCCGTACCCGACCCGGATATGAGTCAGAGATATTACATTGACTTTTAAAACACAACTCTTAACCAATAATAGTAAAATATTTGAACTTATATTAAGAAAATACGATAATATACATATTGTAATATAAGTTTACCAAAATATTCAGAGCATACACAACTTAACCCTTTAATTACATGCCAACTGCCATTTACATAACAAAATGACCTACTGATTAAGTTGCTTCTGATCTGGTGGTTGTAGGAGTAATGCTGTCAAGCTGCTTCACCTGTCTCGTCTACTTTCTCGGATCCTACGTGTGAAACACTCACACGCTAAGTCATTGACTTAGTGAGGCAATGTAATAATAATAACAAGGCAATGTAATGAAAATGTCATAATCATATGAAATGAGATGGAAGCATGTACTTAATCAATGTAGTCTACATCATCAATATCCATACCTGTAAGCATATTACTTTAACATTCATGAATTTGTATTAATAAGTTTATTGGCCCATGATATCATATTGAGAACCTAAGGTATATGAGTAATGTGAGGTTGTGCACTATCCTGTCACCACAGCTCGTATAAATGCACCGAAGTGCCGCGTAGAATTGCACCGTAGTGCCATATAATAATGTCCATAAGGACCACATAGAATTCCTTAAGAATCATATACATATGCTAGGGATCACATATGTGTCTCACCAGACTTCACACATGTTCCAAATAATATATATATATCCCGAAGGACCGCGTAGAATATTGTCCCGAAGGACCGCGTAGACCCTCCTTGGCATGCCAACTATACCTATAGTTCTCATCTACATAACATGGGCTTTTACATTTCACGTAGTCTATATCGCGTAGACATGTAAATTCTTACCTTTTCACATAGCTCATAACTTTTCCTGCATATTCATGTCATATAATGCATGTTATATGAATTCATGTCACGTCTCATAATACAAAATATGATCATGTACCAAGATATAAAATCTAGACTTATCCCAAGTCTAGAATTGAGTATATTTCTATAATTATGCTATGCTTATGCACTCACCTATATTTCTTTGTCTTTTCCTCGATCGATCCTACTTGTAGATTGTTCCTGAACTCGTGTAGGCTCAGTATCTACATAAACATAATTTTCAAGATGATTATCAGATGTCTATGTCTTGAAATTAATCTTTAATAGCCTACCAATTTAAGAAATTAATAGTTTAGTCTTTCTCCTTTTTTTTATATGGGGGTATCGATTCCCCTCTAGCATTATGGAAATTCATATACGTTGAGGGGGTATCGATTCCCCTTGAATGGGTATCGATTCCCCTAGCCCAGAAATCCTATTTTGAGCTCGAAAATCATCTAACTTCAGCTCAAACATTCATATTTCACTCCCTTTAATACTCTTAGCTTTCATACACTTACTTAAACTAATTATTATCCATTCAATACCTCTAAAACTAAAAAAAACTAATCATCCATATAGAATTTAAGAATCTTACTCAAATTCCAACTTGTTCTAATTTTAATTCTATCACTTCATACTTCTTAATTAACTTATTGACAAGTCAAAAATCTTATTCAAACTTCAAAAACTCATCCATATCAAAATTTCATCTAAAAACTCATTTTCCAAATCTATCTCTAAAACACTTATCTTGTTGTCTTAATGTCATATAAGCTTTCCTTTAGCTTATATAACATCCAAACTTCAATTTCCAAGCTAAAAATCAAAGAAACTACCAAGGTTCAGATTCTTACCTTAAACTTGGTCTTCACGTTTGGAAGAAGAGAAGAGTGAAGAAGAGAAATGTCTGGAACCTTGTTTCCTACTCAAGTCCCACGTGGGTTATAATATATCCCCATAAAATTTTTTTATTAATTTTTTCCTTGCAAATGACCATTTTGTCCTTAAGTTCATTTCATATTTACTAACAATTATTTTTAAACTATATTATTATTCTACTTTAATCACCAAATTCTGAATTTTTACAATTTAGTCATTAACCCGTTACTTAGGATGTTACGCTATTAGTAAATTGATAATCGTTTGAATAAAATATTTTTTAAGATAACTACTAAAAATTATATAAAAAAAGATTAACAAGTTGCTCGCAAATTATCGAATCGAATTGAACTTTGCTTGACTCAACTTGTTAAGAACTCAAGTCAAACTCAATTTCGATTCGAGTCAACCCGAATCAAGTTTTTACGAGTCGAGTTCGAGTTGTTGAACTCATTAAACACCCCTATTATCGAGTCTTCAACAAAATTTATTTTTTCAGTAAAATTATAAAAGAAAATCTCTCAAACTTTCATCTTAATTGCCCGTCCAGCTCAGTTGGTAGAACGCAAGACTCTTAACCTTGTAGTCTTGTCTCACGGTGGACAATTCATAATTCTGACTGCCGAAGGTCTTCCACGGAAGCTGCTTTCAACCTGGCATTGGGGGCAGCCTACTACCCTACCTCCCCTTACCCCATTACATATGAGAATAGAGTCAGCTAATTTTTTTCTCAAACTTTCATCTTAAATCTATATTTTCGACTCTCCTAGATTCACTAATATCAAAGTAATCGAAAGAGAAAGAAATATCTTGATTGAATGGTGATTAAATGATAGAGATTGTAGATGAGAACAAGAAAATCTAGAAATTTTGATTTGAATTTTATTAATTTTTAATATATTTCGAAGAAAATCAAATTAAAAGGAAAAGAAAAAAATATTTTATTATAAATTACATCAATCGACGGTAAATGACGATTAAAAATAATGTCAATAATGAAAAAAAAAGTTAAAAATGTAAGTTAATTCAAAAAAATAAATGGTCCCAAAATGAAGCGTTTTGATACTGGCGTTAAAGACACATCTGTCGAGTGATAAAAAGATGAAATTTGAAAGTTAATTGGTCAAAAAAAGAAAGAAAGACAAAGTTTACTGACAAATAGTGTAATTCGTCCCATTTCACACAACATGGAACCACCCTTTGAAAGGATCCGTCCTCTAATCTTAACCTAAAAAAAATCAAAATCCCTCCAATATCTCATAAAGATTTAAGCTAACGGATTCGAATAATCAAAATCCCCCGATCAGGAAAAGAAGAAAAAACCCTAGCTCCTTCACTCCATTTCTAGACAATAACAGAAGGGGGGGGGGAATGGCGCTTTCCGAGGAAGAGTGCTCAACGGGGAAGGCATCTTCCTCTTCACCTTCATCCTCGTCGGCGACTGCTTCGCAAGGCGTTAACTACCTTGCCAAGTGTGTACTTAGAGGAAGTGTTATCCTCCAGGTCGCTTACGGTCACCTCCGATCTCCTTCTTCCTTGGACGTCGTTTTCGGCAAGGTCCTTCCTCTTTTCCATTTCCTTTTTATATTGATTTTAACCTTGTTAATCGTGGAATCCGATCAACTTACTTAGTACAAACAATAATCAACTGGCAATTAGGCTGTGCTTTCCTTTTTTTTTTCCTTTTAATTAGTTTCTTTAGGGTTTAAATTTTATACGTAAGCTGCCCTGTATCGTTTAATCTTTGTTCGTAAGTGATAAATTCTAATAGGAAACGAGTTCAATATTCCTTGTAATTTCTTTCTTTATTTATTTTTTGTTTACTTATATATATGAGCTAGGAATTACTGTAATTCAAACTGATATTTATACGGTTCACCAAGCCCTTGTGCTGCTATTAACCTTTCCTATAGCGTTTCATAGCGTCAGCTTTTTTCTTCTTAAAGTTCGTTGCTCAAAAATGGTAGCAGACAATGACATGCACTTTCATTTATTAATGTAAAATTTTTCCTTTGAAAATTGGGAGAGCTGTAGATAATGGAGATAGATTAATGTTGACAAAGAGAAGCAAATTTAATTCACTTGTATAAAATAGTTTATATAAATGTAATTCTTGGAGATCACTAAATCAAAAGGATCACGTCAATTTGTGGTTGAGTCTCAGTTTGGTGTACTGGAAACTGTAGCTCTAGAGTTGTCTTGGGAAATCAATCTAAAAAAAAGAGGGTCTTCATTGTTGCGGAATAGTGGCATCATGAGCTGATATTCAAACCAGGTTGGAACTGGTTTTTCAAGAAATGGGATATAATAGAAAATAAATGTAGATCATTCTTTTCAATTGAAATCCACACTCACACAAGTTTTGATAAACAAATAAAGTATTATGGATTAGCTTTTTCGGACTGTTGATCTTATTACTGAAGGAAGCTGTCTGGGTATTCTTGCCTTTGAGCGACACTCTTTGTTGTATTTTATGAACTTCTTCCTTCTGAAACTAATGTGAATTTTTGACATTTATGAATTATGTAAAAATATAGCTATTCTAACAGATTGTTTAATTTTTTTAATTCATGAGACATCCACAGAGTATGTAATAATTGATGATGGTATGGCAATATCCATAAAAATAAAAATAAAAACTTTTTTTTCAATGAAAAAACACACTAACATAGGTTAAGATTAAAATAGTAAGGGTTATGGTTATGGATTAGGTTTTTTGGATCATTGATCTTATCTTCCTGAAGGGTCATCTAGTTTGCTCTGCTTTTAACGTGACTATTGTGTCAGAGGAAATTACTTCTGAAATCACAGTGAATTTTTGATGTTTCCTTTAAATTGGATAGCTAACCTAGCTGATTGTTGGGTGGTGTTTTATTCAGGAGACGTCCATAGAGTTGGTAGTAATTGGTGAAGATGGTATTGCAACTTCTGTTTGTGAGCAGACTGTCTTTGGTACGATAAAGGATCTTTCCATTCTACCTTGGAATGAGAAGATCTATGCTCAAAATACTCAGGTCTATACCAAAACTTATAATGGAAGCATTGCAGGATACATCCTTTTGATTTTTGTTTGTCAGAGAGGACCGTTTCTTAAACTTTTTGAGAATAGATATTCCAGAGTGGAGAAAAGTTAATATGATTTGAAGCAGGTTTTGTAATAAAATTATACTATAATTTTATTTTAAATTAATTTGCTTCCTTCTTTTTCTGTATTTAGATGCAAGGGAAAGATATGTTGGTCGTTATTTCTGATTCTGGAAAGCTATCATTTCTCACATTTTGCAATGAGATGCACAGGTTTATTTTCTATCATGCAGTTCAGTTTTCCATGTTGAAAGTGAACATGACTAATGGCTATACTGTTGACATTTTGGTATGTTTACTTACACGCCAACGATACATATTTTTTAAAATAGGTTTTTTCCCGTGGATCATGTTCAGCTTTCTGATCCTGGAAACTCAAGGTGCCAACTTGGAAGAATGCTAGCTGTTGATTCCACGTAAGTGCAGTTATGCCAGAGGTTAAGCTATGTGCATGTTATTTGCTTACCTCTCTGTGCATGTGGAACACGGATACATATTAAAAAGCAAAAGAGATATTGCATCTAGCAATGCAATGGATTCCCCTAACTTTCATGATCTTCCTTTACAGTGGTCGCTTCATTGCTGCTAGTGCTTATGAAGACCGATTAGCTCTTTTTTCCCTTTCAATGTCTGCTGGAGATGATATCGTTGACAAGGTATTGTTATTTTCGGACTGGATTCAATATTCTTGCAGCACTTTGTGAATGACTTTTGTTTTACTCTGTATATGGAGTTATGAAATCTTATCTGTGGGCATTTCAGAAAATATTTTATCCCCCTGAGAATGAAGGCACTGGTGGTTCTTCCAGAAATCCCCAAAGAACTAGTATACGTGGTACAATATGGAGCATGTGTTTTGTTTCAAAAGATTCCGCCCAAACAAATAAGGAGCATAATCCTGTTTTAGCCATTGTTCTGAATAGGTAAGAACTGAATGTATAATGACCATCTAGGAAATAGAGTATTTATATATGTTTTTTGGTCCCTATCAAAATATATATATATATATATATATGTTTTTTGGTCTTACTATGGGATAATTTATTTCTTTATATATATGTATATATAATATTTTTGCTTGGGCTAGTCTAAGCAAGGGCTACATATTGTTACTGCAGGAAAGGAAATACCCTGAATGAACTGGTATTGTTGGGATGGAATATTAAAGAGCATGCAGTTTACATCCTTTCTCAATATCTTGAAGCTGGACCACTAGCACATAGCATTGTTGAAGTACCTCATTCCTGCGGATATGCATTCCTGTTTAGGGTTGGTGATGCTCTCTTGATGGATCTTAGAGATGCGCATAATCCTCATTGCATGTATAGAACAACTTTAGACTTTTCAGTCCATACACCTGAGGAACATATATGTGTTGAAGAGCTATGTACAGCTCATGAATTTGATGATGATGGGTTATTTACTGTTGCTGCATGTGCTTTACTTCAGCTGAGTGATTATGATCCAATGTGTATAGATGGCGAAAGTGGAAATGGAAAAACGACCTGCAAACATGTATGCTCATGTAGTTGGGAACCGAAAAGTGACAGAAGTCCGAGGATGATCGCTTGTCTTGATACTGGAGAATTTTACATGATCGATATTTCATTTGATTCTGACGGTCTTAAAGTGAATATATCTGATTGCCTCTACAAAAGTCAACCTTGCAAGTCCCTTTTGTGGGTCGATGGTGGGTTCCTAGTGGCAATTGTAGAGATGGGGGATGGTCTGGTGCTTAAGGTAGAAAACGAGAAGCTAATATACAGAAGTCTTGTTCAAAATATAGCTCCGATATTGGACATGTCAATAGTGGATTACCATGGGGAGAAACGTGATAAAATGTTTGCATGCTGTGGTGTCGCACCTGAGGGATCATTAAGAATCATACGAAGTGGTATTAGTGTAGAAAAGCTTCTAAGAACTGCCCCTATTTACCAAGGTATAAGTGGAACCTGGACAGTTCAGATGAAAGTTACAAATTCTTATCATTCTTTTCTCGTGCTATCATTTGTTGAAGAGACCAGAGTACTATCAGTTGGATTAAGCTTTACTGATGTTACCGATTCCGTTGGTTTCCAACCGGATGTCTGTACTTTGGCATGTGGTCTTGTTGGTGATGGCCAGCTTGTCCAAATTCATCAAAATGCAGTTAGGCTTTGTTTCCCTACAAAGGCAGCCCATTCTGATGGCATCCCTTTTTCTTCTCCAGTATGCACAACTTGGTCCCCGGATAACATGAGTATCAGTTTAGGGGCAGTTGGGCAAAGTTTGATAGTTGTATCCACTTCTAATCCATATTTTCTTTTTATTCTTGGGGTCAGATCATTATCAGCATATAATTATGAAATATATGAGTTGCAGCGTGTGAGATTGCAGTATGAGTTATCATGTATATCAATACCTCAAAAGCATTTTGAGATGAGACATTTAAGCTCTAATTTAAACTTGATGGGTGATACTGGGAGAGCTGTTCTTCCTGTTGGAGTTGGAACGAGTATTACCTTTGTTATTGGTACCCATAAGCCTTCTGTGGAAATTCTGTCATTTACACCCCTAGGTCTAAGTGTTCTTGGTACTGGAACAATTTCACTAACAACTACTATGGAAACTGCTATTAGTGGTTGCATTCCTCAAGATGTAAGGCTAGTGCTAGTTGATCAGTTTTATGTTCTGGCAGGGTTGAGGAACGGAATGTTGCTTCGGTTTGAGTGGCCTTCTGCTTTTGCTACTTCATCAGAACTATGTGAACGTAGTTCTTCTATTCCTTTTCCAGGAAAGTTTGAGAGATTTTTATTGAATACAAAAACAAATTTGCTTGGTTCACAAACCTGTTCTGTTAATATGGGTGAGAAAGACGGCCTTCCTGTCACTCTTCAATTGATCGCAACTCGTAGAATTGGTGTTACCCCAGTTTTCCTGGTTTCCCTGAGCGATTCACTTGATGCAGATATTATAGCTCTCAGTGACAGACCTTGGTTATTGCATACGTCTAGGCACAGCCTTTCTTATACTTCTATATCTTTCCAACCTTCCACGCATGCAACCCCTGTGTGTTCTGGTGAATGTCCTAAAGGAATTTTATTTGTTGCAGAAAACAGTTTACATTTGGTAAGAATCATTATATTTAGGACATTGGATTTTTTGTTTAGCTTTCATACTATTAAGGATTCTCAGTTATTATTTTCAGCCCTGAACATTTGCTCTTTGCCTAATTTGACCTGTGAGGAACAAATGTTCTGAAGTAAACCTGGTTGATGAGCTATTTTCCGTGTTTGTTTTGCCATTTTATTAGTCTAAAGCTTTTGATTCATGTATTTTTATGGCTTAATTTCTGTTAGTTTTCTTTTCCACTTCCCTTTATACTGTCAGATTTACCTGTTTGCCTGGTAACAGATCTAAGGTAAATATGCTATCTTGTAGATTATATAGTCTTTGGGATATATAACAAAAATTAGGTGCTCTACATATTATTGTGGAACTTCAACTCTTAGAGCTATCCAAATGGACTCAAATAAAGTTGGTTGACTGTTCAAAATAGAAAATAAGCTTGCAGAGCTCTAAGTTAGTGAGTTGCCTTCTATAAATTTGGGAAGCAATTTTCTTGTTTCTATAATTGCTGCTGATCATCTAGTCTTACTGACTATATCTCATTGCATCCATAATCATCCATCCCTATCATTTGAATAATTGCAAAATACGTGGATATTTTCCTTATCTTTATGTTTTGGATACACCCACACACATATTCCGTATGCTGAACCTATTTTTCATGTAAAAGAAATCCAAGCACATGGTTTAATAGCTCTATAGTGGTAATTGAATGACTACAGCGGATACAAACTGTTTACAGTGAATAAAAATTGTTGTTTGACTTTAAATATTATTTTGATCAATTAAACTATATAACTTAGTTTAAGAGTAGTGTTTGTGAAACTTCGGTTAATATTGGCTACTTGTGGATGGTGTCGTCAGGGCATTAGGAATGAGCAAATGGGTTCATGAGGGAACTGTGAGTGGTTGATTGACAGTTGACATTGACATGATGGGCAGTTGTTAGAAAATTGTGGTTTTTTATATGATTTAATTGATCTATTGGATTCCTCGTCTTCTCAGAAAAGAACCATGATAATAATAGCCGCAGTTTTCAGAAAATTGTGGTTTTTTATTTTATTTTATTTAAAAAGAACCAGATTCAAAAGTGGTGAATTACCAGTCACTTGTTCTAACTTCTAATTTTGTGTTCTAATTTCCAAGTATTTCTTTCAAATGCTTCTTTTATTTTTCATTTTGGATTCATTTACATGATCCATTGCTTGATGTTTTAGGTGGAAATGGTGCACAGTAAAAGGCTTAATGTACAGAAGTTTCATATTGGAGGCACTCCACGGAAGGTCCTGTATCATAGTGATAGTAAGCTTTTAATTGTGATGAGGACTGAGCTAAGTAACGACACATGTTCTTCTGATATTTGTGGTGTAGACCCCCTCAGTGGGTCTGTGGTGGCATCTTTAAAACTTGAACCTGGTGAAACTGGAAAATGCATGGAGCTAGTTAGTGCTGGAAATGAACAGGTTCTGGTTGTTGGGACTAGCCTTTCTCCTGGTCCAGCAATAATGCCCAATGGTGAAGCTGAAAGGTTCATTTACTTTGTTATCCCCTATTTTTCATATTTTTCGGTATTGAAGTGCTGAATTTTGTATCTTTGCTTGAAGTGTGGTGACTTTTACTGGATAACTATTTTCCAGAAGAGGGCTTGAGAATCCTTATAATTTTTTTTTGATAGAAGAGAATCCTTATAATTGAAAGCAAAATATTCTGCTTTTCCTTTTAAAGTTAATGCATATTCTATGTTTTCAGTTCCATATGTATAACTGGATATTTTTGCTACAGCACCAAGGGCCGTCTAATTGTCCTCTGCATTGAACATGTACAAAACACAGATGGTGGTTCAATGATGTTCTCTTCTATGGCTGGGTCATCTTCTCAACGAAACTCACCATTTCGTGAAATTGTTGGTCATGCCACCGAACAACTATCAAGTAGTAGTATCTGCAGTAGTCCAGATGATGCTAGTTGTGATGGAGTAAAACTTGAAGAAACTGAAGCATGGCAGTTGCGGCTGGCTTACTCAACCACTTGGCCTGGAATGGTTCTTGCTGTATGTCCATATCTAGACCGTTACTTCTTGGCCTCGGCTGGTAATGCTGTAAGTTGGAATCCACAATGTATTCCTTTAAGATGCCAGAGCTATGCTGTTACTTAGCTTATACAGATTTTGATGATCCTTCTTTCTTTCCAGTTATATTTATGTGGTTTTCCAGGTGATAATCCTCAAAGGGTGAGAAGATTTGCAATAGCCAGGACACGGTTTATGATAACGTCATTGAGTGCATATCGTAATAGAATTGCTGTAGGCGATTGTCGTGATGGTATTCTTTTTTATTCATATAATGAGGTGAGAAACTTTTGCTGCTGCCAGTGATAAATCTGGTTCTGATGTTAATTGTGTCCTTTAACGCTTATGGGTAGTGTTTGCACCATTTTCAAGATTAACATGGTAAGCTAATATTAATTGTGGTCTAGCATTCATGATTTTGAGTCTACATCGGTTAACAATCATAAATATTACGTAACTGTTAGCAAATATAAAACTTGTTAGATAAACCGACTTTTACAAAATTGTAGAAGGGAAAAAATCATTTAAAAAACCATTTCTGTTAAGTTTGATGTAGCTAATGTTTTTATTTGTAGAGAAAAAAGAGAGAATATTTCTTCTTGTGTATTTATTCATCAACTGTATGAGTATATATACAAGTATAAAGCTCGTATAATGGGTAGCATAACATCCTACATTAATTTCAATATATTAATCCTAAGATTTAGCCTACAAATCTGTAACATTTTTAAAGTTAAAAATTTATAATATAAAACAATTACAATTTGAGAGGGAACGGGTTTTTAACTCAAACTAGTAAAGGGTTGCATTGGTATAGTTGAACTTTATATATCATTTCACCTTGGTAATAAGGATGAAAACTAAATATCTCTACGAGAGATTACTGCCACCGAATGACAATCAATTTCTTGCTACTTAATGGTCTAATTCCCATGTGCACCATTTATTTGTGGTGAACACTCCACACTCAACAATTATGGTGTGAACAACCTTTTTTAACTATTTATAACATCTTCACCAATTGCATCACTACAATTATGGTCTTTGATCTGTTGTGAACCAACTTTTCTTTCTTATATGCCAGGACACCAAGAAACTGGACCAGACATATTGTGACCCATCTCAGAGGTTGGTTGCTGATTGTGTTCTTACAGATGTTGATACTGCTGTTGTTTCAGATCGTAAGGGCAGCATTGCTGTCTTGTCTTGTTCAGATCGTCTTGAAGGTAAGTTCCATGTGAAGTTTTATGTGAAACCATGATTCTTTTTACAGTGTATAGTTATATCTATGGTTACATTTATGTCTATTTCTTTGTTTATTCTTCAAGTTTTGTTGAGGCACTTTTGATCTTCAAATTGTCTTGTTAGCTATTCCTACAGTTGGCTAAAGGCTATGATCACAATGTTTTGAACATATTGTGCAAGGGAAGAATGCCAGTCTTTAAGAATTATATTTATTTATCACAAACCTTATTAACCCGACTGTTGCAGTGAGTCTAAAATAAAGTTCTATTGAAATTAAACTTCATAAATTTTTATAATTTTTTAATGTAAAGCAGTTATGGTTTAACAGTATATATGATTAATTAGCTAAAAATGTTACTAATCAGATGGTGTAATCAAATGTGGTATTTGGTAGTGTGTACTTTCATGGAACATAATTTAGACAAGCAGAGCCTTTCTTTTGAAGTTTTCTTAGATAGTAACAATTGTATATTTGATACAACTGCATTAAAATACAGTTTTATTAAGCCATGATTAATTTCATATGAAAATACTTTTATTTATCGTTATAAAAAGAAAATATACTTTATAGACAAATTTTTTGGATTTTTGATATTTTACATATACAGCTTAGATGTTTTCATTGTAAAATGATACATGCTTTGACCTTTTACACATTAGTAATTTTATTCAACAAACCATACTACCATAGAGCCTCTGACTACCTATATACAATTTTTATATCCTTTTTCGTTTCTGTTTCCTCCCTCTGGTTTTTTCTTTCATTATACAAAAAACTTTCAGCATTACATTTTTAATATTCTCGTTGTGATAAATACCAACTTACCAAGGGAAAAATAGTTTAGTAGCAAAACATAAAAGAGAAATAATAGTAGAAGTGTAAGGTAAACAGAGAGGATCCGGAAACTGGAACTCCCAGCTAGCAAGTATCTTCATGACAGTAAAATATCTCAGAAGGCCCGAAACCTTACAAAAGTACAATCATTCAAGGAGAAAAAGAGATAATTGGTTTCTAGAATAATACAAATGTGAGGGTAAATACATTAGGATCAGTATCAAGATATTTGATTACATTTGTGACTAAGTGGGATGGGAATTCATCATTGCTTGGTACCACCCTTAGCTGGAACCAGTGGTAATATGATTTTGTTCTGTGAATGTTAACATAGCCTATCAGCATGTGTCAATGAAATAATGGAGATCAACTCCTCATTCTAAACAATTAAAGAGATGGGAGGAAATAAACTATAAATGTGTGATAATTGAACTTATTAATTTGTATTTTAGCTGCTGCTATGTTTGTGTTTCTGGCTGGGATAACTGTATTATTATTCATGTGTCAGATGATGCAAGTCCTGAACGCAACTTAACACTGTCTTGTGCATATTATATGGGTGAGATTGCCATGAGCATCAGGAAGGTAAGATATTACACCTCATAATTACCAGTGGTATTGTAATGTGCCTTAGGTTTTATGTGGTTCTGCTAACGAAGATCAAATAAAGATATTAGCATTGATGGTATTATCAACTTTATTCTATTTAATATCATCAATGTAATTGTAAAAGACGAATGTAATGTCCGGGTTCCACCTAAAACTCTGCTGCTTTCACAGGAAATATGTGAATTAAATCTGTTAGGCACTGGTCTAGTTAGAGAAGTCTTGCATGGAAACTTAATGCTTATATTGATTACTTAGCAACTATATCATATTTTTTTTTCTTGGTATAGAATCACATAAAATGTCCGACGAGGTACTTATGTACAGCGATGGATATGAAGGGGTTTTTTAATGAGGCCTATTTCTTATAAAAAAAAAAAGAATCGCATAAAATGTGTTGTGATTTTGAAATAATCTTGCTATTTTGTCGTAGAAGTTTGTTTTCAATTCTTTGAGGAAGAAGATAGACATTTTCTTTTCAATTGATTGACTGAGATCAAAATATTTCACGCATTGTGGCATCCCCCTTTTTGATAGGTGAGACTAACATGCTAAATTCTTATTTTCCCTGCATTCAGTAGTCCTTTTTGTGCTTATATGCTGAATGGTATACTCATGGTTATGTTGTTTGTTGCTTCTTCTTTGGGCAAATAATTTATGTTATTAGTTCTTGTGAAATGATTTTTCTTTTTATTTTGCTCATTAACCATATTCTATATAATATATATTTTCTTGCAGGGCTCATTTATTTACAAGCTTCCTGCTGATGATATGTTAAACAACTGTGAGCCTCTGAATGCAAGTGTAGATCCTTCACACAGTGCTATAATGGCCAGCACACTCCTCGGAAGCGTAATGATCTTCATTCCTATATCAAGGTATGGATTAATGCTTGGGCTGAAGTGCTTTTTTCTCCTCACCTTTTACACTGTTGAAGAATGTTATTATTTGCTGTTGACAATTTGAGAAATGAAATAGGGAGAAAGCAAATGATTCACTTTTGCATTTGAACTCAAGAATTACATGGTATTTATACAAATAGAATAAGCCCAAGGAAACAAAAAATCTGTCCATGAATTAAAGAATCCTTAATATTAAGTAATATAATCCCTGAGAATCAGCTTGGTAAAGCTGTAAGATTAGTTGTCGACAGTCAACACTCTCCCTCAAGTTGGTGCATAGATGTCACACATGTCCAACTTGCAGACCAAATTATGGAAACTCGGGTTATTAAGTCCTTTGCTGAAAATTTCAGCTAACTTCCTGTTACATGTCAGATGGACTAAGTTTAAGGTACCAGTAAGTAGTCAGCTTTTCTTTGATAAAGTGTTGATCGATTTCTATGTTTTTTCTCAATCATGTTGAACTGGATTTTGAATAATGCTGATTGTAGCTTTAGTATCACATTGCAAGGATAATTTGTTTTCTTCAGACGAACTTATTTCATTCAACAATTTTCGTAACCATATATAAAATTTTGATGACTGTTATGTTAAAACACCCATGGATTTGATCTATTTATATAAATTTGTTGGAAGTTCACAATCTTTGTTATAGGAGAGAAGTGAATTGACTATTGATGAAGTACAGAAATGGTCTCTAAACAATGCTGAAATGATCATTTTGGTTATTGAAGTTTTGGAAGTTACAAAATGGTCATTAAAATTTATCAAGCTATTATAAAATAGTCATTTAACTTATCAAACTGTTATAAAATGGTTCTTAAACTTATCAAGATTTGTCACTGTTTTATAATATGCAGTGACCATTTTGTAACAGTTAATAAGCTTAATGGTCATTTTTAAGTTCCTAAACTTCAGTGACCAAAAAGATCATTTCATCATAGTTGAGTGATCATTTGTCTTCTTGACTCATTGATTTTATGGTATTGGAAAGTAATTTGTACTTTGGATGTGTTGGATTATTTAATTGTGCATAAAACTGGATAAGTAGGCAAAACTGGGTATACCTATTTCAATTATGAGCCAAGGTTAATGTCAATCAATGTGGTTGGTCTTTACTGCTACTTAGGCTCCCATATTCTGATAAGTCAATTAATGTCTAGATTTTGGGTTTGTGGTTGATAAATTGAATGTTTTTGTAGGGAGGAATATGAACTGTTGGAAGCTGTCCAAGCTAGACTCATCGTTCATCCATTAACTGCTCCTATACTAGGCAATGATCATAATGAGTACCGTAGCCGTGAAAACCTGGTAAGAATAGCATTAGCTACTTTAACTGCTAAGATCGTCAATGGTGATGAAAGTCTAATGCTTCTAGGTTTATTCAGCAAAAGAATACTCAAATCTGGGAGCAACTGAGTTTTTATGCTAGCTATTTGCCGTGCTATGTTTCTTCTTTCATTCGTTACTTTTGTCAGTCATCCTTTTTTCAGATGTTATGCTTCTTATTCGATCTTTTGGTGGATTTTTTGTAGGATAGGGTGGTTAGTTTGTTGGGATGGGAGTTCTATAATAGTCTTTCTAGGCTGCTTTTGTGTGCTATTTCATGTGTTAAACAAATCATACCTTTTTTCCAACTGTTCTTTTGTGTGTGGGAATAAAAGGTTGGAGTCCCGAAGATACTTGACGGTGACATGTTGGCTCAATTCTTGGATCTTACTAGCATGCAACGAGAGGCTGTATTATCATTTCCCATTGTTTCTCCCGATACTCAAAAGTTGAGTTCGAAACTGGCGTCTTCACCTATCCCTGTCAACAAGGTCGTACAACTCCTCGAACGTGTCCATTACTCCTTGAACTAATAACAGCTTCCCCCCATTTTTCATCCGATATTTTATTGAAAGAAGACAGCCCCGAGATCAACAGAAGAAAGGCTTGTGATTGTAATCCTCACATGATCTGGAGGGGCTGGGTGCAAGATGATCACTGTCGACTACATTCACGAACGCATTGGTTATATTATTTCTTTAGTTTGCAGGTTTGGCGACGCAGCTGCAGGCACAATGAATAAAGATAAATGGGTAGAGTCGGTGTTTACCTTTTTTTGTCCATTGTAAGTAGTGGCATTGTATTGGTGTTTCAAATGGGAATTGAATTTGGTGTTTTTCTTCTGCAACACAGTCTCAAGCAATTTTTTTTTGGTCTATCAAAGTGCGAGGACGAAACAGCAACCCACATCGAAGAGTTCTTCCCAAAAGTCATCACCTTTTCATTTCTATTCCTTTCCTGCTTTTCTATGAGAATTTAAGTTAATTTAGTTATTAATACATAAAATATTTTACGTATATAAATTGATAATGCTTTGCTATTTCTTAGAGCCTAGTAATAGTAGAAATAGCATGTCATGTGAGTTTACTAGAACGCATGCTAAATGAATTATTGATACGTAGAATATTATTTAGATTTATAATCTTTGGCTATTTACTAGGTATTTATACAGATAATTCTAGTCAATGTGTAGATATGGACAGGACGACTTTATTTACCAACGAGGCAAATAATGTAGGCTGTTAGATCTAAGTTTTGTTAGAGAGCTTGCGAGTGAGGATGAAGAGTTTCAATTAAAAAAATTATTGGAATTTGTTACTCTAATGTGATAAATTTTAATAAAAAATTATATTTTTAATCATTTTGATTTGATGAGTTTGAATAAAAAAATATTATACGAGCAAATTCGTCACGAAGACGTGACAGCAGTATATCCCAAATTAATTTGGAGATGATCTAATGTACGGGTGCTTAATGAGTTCAACTCGAACTTGAATCGGTCGGTAAAAACTCGATTTGGGTTGACTCTACTCGAACTCGAGACATTAAAGAGTTAAGTTGAGCAAACCCAATTCAGTTGGATAAGTTCGCGAGCAAATTGTTAGTTTTATATATATAATTTTATTAGTAATCTTAAAATAATATTTCAAAAATCAAACCTTATTTATTATTTTAATGTATTTGTGGATTGTTACTTTGGAGTTTGGACTTTAAAATACTTCGTACATGATAATTTTTTTTGGTTAATTTTATTAATTTATGTTTATATTAAGTTTTATATAGTATTAGTAGATTTTACCTATAGTTAAGAAAATAATATAAAAATTTCGGTAATCTTAACGAACAACGAACGAGCAATGAACATCAAGCTTAACGAGTAACGAATTTAATGATCAACGAGTCGAGCAACAAATTTTCTTAACGATCACGAGTCGAGAAAAATTTTAACAGATTAACGAGCAACAACATTTTTAAAAAGCATGAATCAAGCACTTCCCAACTAACAATCGATTCGCTCGATAATCAACCATAATCTAATAGATTAATTTTTTTTGTTCGCCTAGCCTATTGGGCCAATGTTACCTTTAAGAAACAGTCCTCAGGTTTCAGCTCTGTTCTAGTTGGATCAAGGCCCATTTTTGGATCCAGCCTAACCAACTTAAATTATATTCCGCCTTTGATTCTCTCGATGGAAAACACGTGGACGGTCAGGATGTGTAAATCATGAAGCTTCTGGAGTTTTTTTTCATCTTCTTTAGAATAGCTTCTGGAATTCATCTGAAGGTAGGTGATGATCGATTCCATCTATTACTCTGAAGATTGAGCAATTGAGAGCTTGGAATTTTCCTCTTTTTCTTCGAAACAGTTAAGTTTCTCGCTGTTTCTTATCTTCCTTCTTTTAAATTTCTGATTCGTAAATCTCTTTCATTGTTTCATTAAGATTTAATAGTTTAGTTTTAGAATGTCGTAACTAGATATCGTTTTCTTCGGAATTCTGTAATTGTATTGTACTGTTTTCTTTCATGGAGTATTTTTATCGGTACATGTTTAATACTTCTGTTCCTTCTTTGTAAAATTTTACGCGTAAGTTTTATTCTTTTATGGCGTATTTTTATCGGTACATGTTTAGTACATGTTTAGAGAAATACTTTCATGGTGGAAATGAATTTGGATTTAGAAACAGAACTTGACTTAGCTTCCGAATCAATCCTGGATTCAATGAAATTCTTTAAATACAATTATATTTTTTTTGCATTTTGCTGAAAATTATACATGTCTTAGTTCTTCATCGCATTGGATAGTAGGATTGTCTATTTCTTTCATTTTTCTCAGTTTGCAATACGCACACAGTTTCTCAAGTTTGATCAATGCTAATGCATTCTTATGATTATTGAATGTTTCAGCTTTGTAGCAAATGAAGGGTAGAAGTTACAGTTACAGTCCCTCACCACCAAGGGATTATGGTAGGAGCAGGTATCGCAGCCCTAGCCCTAGGGGTCGATTTGGTGGTCGTAGTAGAGATCTTCCCACGAGTCTTCTTGTTCGCAACCTTCGCCATGACTGCAGGTTTGTTTTGTCTCCATCTTGATCGGAGCTGGTTCTTTGGTAGCCGTATTTGGTTTTAGTTTCCATGTTAGTGATTATATGCAAACCTGTTTGGGCAGACGCCTCAACATTTTGCATCTATGCTATCAGGTTTTTTTTGTTACATACCCAAACATGACAAAGCAGCTTTTGTGTGTTGATCTTTTGTGAGATCAAAAAAGTGTTTGTCCTAAATACAAGTTAAATTTGGATTCTTGTCTAAGTGATTTTCTTAGGGCTGATAAGTTTCTCATTGAGCTTCATGTGCAGGGTAGAAGATCTCCGTGGACCTTTCGGGCAATTTGGCCGCCTGAGGGATATCTACCTGCCTCGAGATTATTATACTGGGTAAGTATAATATTTTAATCCAGAAAATGGTAATTCAGTATGTGTACATGTGCGTCGTCTGGTAATATCAACTTGTCTATCTTCATTCTGTCCCGCTAAAGGGTTTGGATCTTGGGAACTTTTTATTTTTTGGGGTCATTTACACTGGTTTATGGGAATTTGGTTGTTTTTATTGAATGTTTTGAAGACAACAATGAAGTAATGAGTATTGTGTTGAAGACACCGATGAAGTTAAGAGTACTATGTTGAAGACTCATGAAAGTAATGAGTACTGTTCAAGATGACCTTAAATTTTACACCAAATTGGAAGGAACTTGGTTTTGAACTCTATATGAAGAATTGGAAGTCTTGAAGAAAACAATTCAATTAAAATTTGGCCCCGCAAGGTTAGCAGTCTCTTACTTGAACTGTATGGAGAATTGGCTTGCTATCATGATCTTCCATGTTAATGGAGTCAGGTTCATGTTTTGTGATTTGAAAGTCATTGAGCATGTGTGGCTTGAGAACTCTGATCAGGGTTTCAAATCGAAATAGCGGTCGCGGTCGTGTTTTCGGTCATTTCGGGTTTACCGGCCGTCGCGGGTAATGGGAGGGCGGCAAAACCGCTATTTCGCGGGCACTATCACGTTTTCGGACCGTGATTTGAAACCCTGACTCTGATATCTGGCTTTTGTATATTTATGATATTTTTATGGGATCTACCTTATTTGTGATGCAGAGAACCACGTGGTTTTGGGTTTGTTCAGTATCTTGATCCTGCTGATGCGGCCGATGCAAAATATCATATGGATGGTTATGTTCTTCTTGGACGAGAACTTACAGTTGTATTTGCCGAGGAAAACAGGAAGAAACCTTCAGAAATGAGGGAAAGAGACCGCAGAAGGTAAGCATGGGTTCTTTTTTGATGCATGCCCATGGTTTGCCCACAATTGGTTTTATTCAAAAATAGCTGCTGTATGCATAGACGGATTTAGGAAGACAAAAGACTCATTTTCTAAGTATTTCTGATTATAAAGTTGTAATTGGACAATGTTAACGTTGATCGTAAATGTTATGCATGTGCATGATAAATGAAGGAGCCGGTCGTATAGGCGTTCCCCACTTCGTTATTCTCGGTCACCACGATACAGTCGAAGTTACTCCCACAGTCCCGACTATTACTCTCCTCCTAGGAAAAGGCGTTACTCAAGGCAAGCTAGCTGGTCATTATTTGTAGTTTAATCATTCATGGCTTATGAAGGGTTGTATTAATGTTGCCTTTTTGATTTGGTGTAGGTCAATTTCACCCAGAGATGGGAGATATAGAGGACGATCATACTCAAGGTCGCCCTATTGTAGGAGCAGGAGTCCTAGTGTGGACTATTCTAGGTAACTATTTTGATTGTGTGAAGATTAGTATTGTTAGGAAAAGGAGCCAAAGTGTGGACTATTCTAGGTATAACTGATTTGATAGCATGAGTTTTATTATGTGCCGGATGATAAATTTAGCCTGTCTTAACCATTTTATAATTGAGAACAAAGCTGATTGTTGAGCTCCTTAGCTGGTTGTGGCAAGTAATAATGTTAAACGTCCTTTGAATGAATTATTTTTAGGGTAAATTATATGTTTAGTGCCCCAATTATCATTCATGTTCTGGTTGTCTTTTTTTTTTAAATAATATCTGATGTCTAGTTTAAGTAGTTTAAGTTTTATGGGTAACTACATGTTTAAATAGCACCTAAACTATTACTTTTGTTTCCTTTTAGTACTAAACTTTCAATTTTTCAAAATTTACATAAAAGTTTACTTTTTTTTAGTATCATGCCGTTAAAAATTTATGTACTAAAATAAAATAAAAAGTTAACAATGGGGTATTATGATGAAACAAAAAGTAAATGTTAGGTGTGATTTTGAAAAAAAATTAAAAGTTAGGTATTAAAACAGAATAAAAGTGATACTTTAGGTATTAAACATGTTAAAATTTTAATTTTTATGTTGACGTGGCACGATATAACCTTTTAAATTGTAAAAGGTTGATGTTCTATTAATTCTTTCCTTTGCCTAATAACTGAACAAACCGATCACCTTATTTCTAACAATTACGTTGGACGTAGGATTATTTTCTTAAATTTTATAAATTGATTCCACTGAATATCTTTGAAGAATAATAGTAAAGTCTATTGATGAAAACGGTCCAAGATTTTTTCGATGAAAAATGTTTATCTTTTATTTTATAATTTTTTTAAGATAAAACTAAAATGTCGAGAAATGAGGGCAACATGAGACTTCCTAGGAGATCACCCATCTGCCATTCTTGCCCAACTTTTATTTTTTTTAATTTTTATTTTTTCAAAATTTCATGGTATTCTAACTTATAATAAGTTTTATAAATATTTGAATATTTTTAAAATTCTTTTTTCTTAACCATTAAATAAATTCTCACTTTCAATTAAAATCAATTTTTTTCCAAAACTTATCTAAAAAATAAATTATGTCTTCTAACTCAGTTAAAAATTGATTAAGAATTTTCACCATGTTACCATATCAATATCACATCGTTAACTTAGCATTAATACCTTACTACATCATCATTCTAACAATCAATATCGATCAAAAGATAAAGCTGATACAATTATATGAGTTTGAAAGTAAAATTGATGTAATTAAAAATAAGTGTCAAATTATTTTGGATACATTCCGGTGTGTGTAATGTTACAAACATTATCATTTTAGATTTTTTACCGTAACGGTCGTTAAAAAGACACGTTTTGATAATTTTTATTTTTTATTTTTTTAAATAAAAAATATTAAAAAATATCCCTCCCTCCCATTCCCTCTCCCCTTATGTCCCTCTCCCCCTCCCACCCTCTCAGTTTGTTGCTTCAATCATGGTTATATGAAATCTTCACATTTCTTATTTAACTCTTCATTATTCATCAAGCCAAGTGCTTCATCTTTAACATAAGATGATTCAACCTCTAATTATCTTCGACTATCTCCATCACTAATGCTCACCGTCTTGTCGGCTTTAACATCAGACTCTATCCTAAAACTATCGCTCAAATCAAAGCCGGTGACCATGAAAAAAACTAAGTCCATTGCAAAGCAAAAACTTGTAAATCTTGCCGACACTAAATAGCTGTAAACTCAACCACGTTTCTTACGAGTTTATTTGAGGTTTTGTGTGTTCAAATGAAGGGGGCGAAACGGGAGGGGACGAGGAAGGAAGCACAATTGTTGTACCTCCGCCAAAGGTCTTCCGCACACACCACTCTCGCACCTCACAACCATCGGAATGACTTTAAGATCAACCCAACACCCCAACATCAAGGGAACTCCAAAAGATATAGAGGGAGTGTTTTTAGCAAAAGGGTCTCAAAGAACTAAATCTCGAGAAGTTAGGAAGAATCAACATGATTTCTGACAGGCCCACATGACCTACCAGAATAAAATTTATCGTCACTAGACTATATTCATTTAGCATGTTAGTCTACAAATAGTCATTATATCCCTACAACTGACATACACTAACGAATTCATATACATCCTCTCAAGCATGACCAATAGACGAGATAAAACCTTTATGACATTACTTCACATATATTCTTTTCAATTTCAATTGATTACGATTTTTTCGTTAAAAAAAGAAAGAAAGTGAATCACCAATAACCATTGCAATTTATTTGGTCACTAATGCACATGTACAAGAACAAATTATTGTTTATTAAAATTGTTGGACCAATCTATATTTATGGACTATGACCCATCGTTTAATAAGTCTAAGGTCCAGAAACAGTAAAGCTCGTACAAATGATAGTTTATGATTAAAGTAGGATCACATATGAAGCCTTGAGCATGTTAGGTTGATATTTGACATGTAGTACAAAACCTCCCATAGACTACCAAACGATCAATTAGAACCCATACCACATGCCCACTATGAAAAAGTTCGGGTGAATTATGCATTTAATATATAAACCATTAAATGTAGTCTGTTTTAGTATTTAAACTTTCATTTTTTAAAATCATACTTAAAGTTTAAATTTTGTTTCATTTTAGTATCCCGTTCAAAATTTAACGTTAAGTTTTGAAAAAAAAAAAAAATTTAGGTACTAAAACGAACCAAAATTGATAATTTATATATTAAATGCATTAAGTTTTTAACGGCGGGTACTAAAATGAAATAAAAATAAATGTTATGCATTATTTTGAAACAAATAAAAGTTTAATTACTAAAACAAATCAAAACTAATAGTTTAGATACTAAATACGTAATTTACCCAATTTTTTTTTTAAAAAAGGTAACCTTATCATCCCCAAGTCGCAATATCTTATCTCTTTTATTCTTCTATAGATGTTGTTCATCGTCTCTCCAACTTGGATGCTTAAATTTTACTACTAACTTAAGCACTAAAGAGTAACACAGATACAATCGTTCGAACTTAAGTCTTTAAGGATATTACATTTTCTCTTATCATTAAGACCGTTCAATGAATTTTCGTTACAATTATTATTAATTGTTCGTAAATTTTATAATGCGTATAGTGTTGTCATCGCATTTCATTTAAATGTAATCAACGTCTTAAACAAATCGACTCTTATAAAATTTTGAAATAAACTAATATTTATTGAAAAGATGGAATTTCCAGCCCAATATTTCTTCATTTTATATTAATTTTGTATATTTATTTTAAAGAAATCATCATATATCAAACAAATCTTAAATATTCATAACAAAATTAAATTTATGTGTGTTGTTTTCATGATATTGATATATATATATATATATATATATATATATATATATATATATATATATATTCATCTCATGTTTTTGTCGTGTCTAAATTGATTCAAATTTTATTAAATTTATCTATAAAAAAACTTTTTTTTATCAAATTTTATTTGATTTATAAAATTTAAAATTCAATTAGTGAGAAAATTAAAATTTATTAACTTAAATTTCACTCACTCGATTAGATTAAACATTTATCCCTAAAATAATATTTTACTAAATATAGCTGTAGACACACTTTTCTTGACCGAAAGAACATATATTTATATATTATATATTACATATATATATTATATCAATATTATTATTTTAAACTAATACATTTACATTTTTTTTAACAGGTCTCTACAACAGGCCTTACAAATGGCCCGTCTTCAACAGCCCAGAAAGCCCAGTACAGGTGGCCCAAGCCCCGAATTGGGTAGGGTTTCCAGAAACTCAAACATCTGCTGCCCTAGCCGCCAAGCGCCTTGACCGTTGGATCAAGATGTGATCCAACGGTCCACAATAGGAGTCAGCTAGGGTTCCGTTTTCTTTCATGAGAGCGCCGCATCCCTTGCCTCACAAGTCCACACCGATTCTCACGCAACAACCCCGGCGAACGTGGAGCCTCTCCAACAAACGTGCAAACAACAAACACAATATTAGTGTTCTACGCGAGATCAAACTCTAGAATATTAGGCTATAAAACCCCTGTAAATAGAACACACAGGGGGGAGGATTCAGATTACACGAGTTAACAGAAAATACTAGGAAACTCAAAGCAACCAAGGCGTTTTTGTAAGAATTTTTTTTGAAGTGGAAATAAAAGAAAGGTATATCTTTGCTTACCTTCTTGCTCGAGTGGTCCTTGCTTGTGTGCTTATCCGTCGCTTTTGGTTCAGATCGAACCAAAAAAAAAAACGTTTTTGGCCGATGAACTTTTAGGGGAGGGATTGAGACTTTGATCTCGGATCTACCCTCCCCCGAGGCCTATTTCAAAAAACCGGTTTGAGATTTGAGTCGAGGGAGAGAAGGGCTTTCAAAAAAACTAAATTTTTAGGGTTTGCCACCGATGATCGTGGCCGGCGAGGCGGCGTAAGGTCGTTTTCTGGGAATTCACGGCCAGTGTTCTTCATGACCTAAGAACAGATGAGAGAATGGAGAGAAAGGGAGGGGTTCGGCTATTGAGAAAGAGAACGAATGATTTTTTTACAAAACAATTTTAAGTGATATACTAAAAATCCGCATGTTTTTTCCGTAACAATAGGGTAAACCACAGTTTTGGTCCTCCGTTCTTTAGTTCTTCTATTATCGCCCCCAATTTCTCCTAAAATCGATACACACTTCTGTTTTTCATTCAATTCAGTCCCATGTATTTAAGTTTTAATTGTTATTGTTTCATCTATTTGTTTTATTTTATTTATATGTATACTTTTCTTAATATTTTATTTATTTATATTACTATTATTTTCTTTTATTTATATTCTATTTCTATTCTTTTTATATATGTCAATATATATATAAACTTTTTAAATCATTAGCTTTTCTAGTTTTATTTTATTTTAACTATACATATACATATATTTTTATTGTTTCTCTAATATCATATGTATACACGTTTTATCATTTTCATTTGCTTTGTATTAAAAAACCATATCTTATTATTATTATATACATATTATATTATATATATAACCTACCCCCTCTTTTAGCTGACCAAACCTTTATCCTTTTTTCAAATTTGTATCCTTTTTTTTAAATTCGTATCCCTTTTTCTAT